TCAACTAGCTTTGTTATTTATTCAATCAATATTAATTCAAAAGCCACTGTCCAAGGTACTCTAAGAAATACTATGATGAATAGGAAAAAGTTCTGCATTCAAGTAGCTTACATCCCAGTTGAGAATATAATACAGGCACACAGATAAAACACTCATTCACTGATTCAACATTTCCTGAGTGGTTACAGGAAGGCAAGGAGTTTGGCACTGTGAGAAATACAAGGATGAATTAAACAAATCCTTAGCCCTCCAGGGAGTAACAGTCTGAAGAAAACAGTTTTGCAGGCTATAAATGGAGAATATTAGAAGTGCTATAGGACTGGTCTAAATGAAATGCTACGTGAATTCCAAAGACGAAGAAATTATTCCCAAGTAGGGATTTGAGGAAGATGACAGGGAGTACACATTTGAAATAAAGGGTATGCAGGATTTGGGTACCCACTGATTAGAGAAGAAAGATAGTCTAAGTGAGGGTCAAATGTATATAAAGACAGAAACTTTGGGAAGTAAAGAGAGAATAGAGGGGGCAGTGAGTACCTAAGGGTTTTGAGAGGGGACTCCCAGGTTATGTGAAGGAGTTTAGGAGGAAGGAGAGGGAAGTCAAATCACAGGGAGGGCTCAAATGGGAGTCTAAAAAGCTTATATGGTTTATGGAATATGGAACATAAGAAAAGGTAGAACACAGAGTATCTTAAAAGAGTTCTAAAGTCAATGATAAGAGGAAAGGAAAATTGGGTTCATAATTAGAGAAGAGATAATTCATTTAGGCCTAGAAAGAATGATATGGATCTGATAGGCTGTTCCAGATAATATAAATTGATGAAAGCCATGATTCAAACCAGTTCAGCTGCTCCTTGGTTGGTACCCTTCCTGGGAGATAGCTCAAACCTCAGGAACTAAGCCTTTAACACACACGCATGCATAAACACACACACACAATCACATGTATCTCCCTCCTACCCCACACACATCATTTTGGTAGGATATTTTTATTGCTGGATTTTTTTTCTAAGTATAAAATTAACAGATGTTCAGTGCCGAAAATCTAGTCTTTTCATTGCTGTTAATTTTAATATTGACATAATGACCCACAGTATGAATGTACTAACACTGATAGTTGCAATTCTATACTGAGAGCCAGTGTTCCTAGAAACTTGCCAACTGTCCAAGACCAGTATGATCAGCCCAAAGATGATATTGGTCTTTCCAAGAATCATTTGGGGCTCTACTCCTAAAGGTCAAAGGAGACTGCTTCTAGACCATCTCCAGACCTTCCCTGGAATATATGAGTTAAAGAAGCCCAAAGCAATCTCTCAGGAATCAAAACAGAAACAAAACTGAACATAGTAAACATTAATACAGACTGTTGGTTGGATACTTATCATATAGGGGTGCACAGGTTTAGGCATATTCATGAACAAATTTATTTTTATCGGGACTAATTAGGCTAATTTCAACCTAATGGATTTGAATGGACTAGAACTAAACTCAGAAAATCAGTGAGTCAAATGTTGTTGGGCTTTATATTAGAACAACTTTATGTACAGGTTGAGAGCATGAGCTTTAAACACAATCAGAACTGATATGAGCCTCAGCTATGAACTACTATAACTGTGTGATCTTGGGAAAGTTGCTTAACTCTTCAAAGATCTAAGAAAATAAGGATAATACCTGTGATAATTAAATACAAAAATTAATATATGAAAGACTGTCCTTAAATGGCAGTTTATTAATAATGGGCAATTATCATGGTACCAACTTATACAGAAATCTGTCCTTAAAAAATTAGTGCTTTCCATTTACTTTTTAAAATGATAAATATATACATGCTCATTAAAGAAAATTTAGAAAATACTAATAAATAATAATTTTACTTCCACAGTCCAGAAATCACTAAGTTTATGAATTTTCAAAAGCATCTTTAGTACCTGGCCCTATTTCTTTTTTAATGCATCACTTTTTTTTTTTTTAATGGGAAGTAAAATATATGTTATGTTTCTATAATAGAATTATGAACACCTGAAGTTTCATTTTCTGATTTCTTCCCCTTAGGCTGAGAAAAAGCAAAGCAAACAAGGTATGGTGCTATCCCGAATGCTCTACAACGTATCATATTTAATCTTTTTTTTTTTTTAGAAACCAAGAGAGAGCACACGGGGGCGGGGCAGAGGGAGAGAGGAGAGAGAATCTGCGATCATGACCTGAGCTGCAATCAAGAGTCAGACACTTAATAGACTGAACCACCCAGGCACCCCTCATATTTACTCTTTAAAGCTCATCTCCATCAATGTTTTATAATTCCCCTCAAATCCATGATCTCTTTGTCCTGTGAGAGCCCTGATATCATGGGGTTTAGATTTCTCATATCGCACTTTTCACACTGAATTGTACTTCTTTTCTTAGCAGCCGCTTGCCCCCCACCCCCACCCGCCCTTCCCCTTGTTCCATCTTCTAGAGCTGGGGCTTCTAACCTAAGAACTGTGGACTTCCTGAAATGACACATTAAAATAGTATTTCTGTAGATACAAATACATCTTCCTGGGGAGAACCCATATATTAATCAATCTTAAAAAAGTTCTGAGTATCACAGAACTCTGGTCTGGGGAAAATACCTGTGACTTAATTACCCCTGGATCTTCTATAGTGCTTAGCATCTATCTTTATATGGATAAATATTTGTTGATCTAAAATTTTATTATTGAAGCACAAAGTCAATATTGAATATACAAAATTTATCTATCCTTTAAAATATATTTTCCTCATGTATTTTTCTCATTCCTCATTTCCTCATCTTAACATAAAAAATACTGTTTCTGAAAGAATGGTGGTTATCAGGATTTAGGGAGAAGAGGAAATGAAGAGTTATTGTTTAACAGATACAGAGTTTCAGTTTGGGAAGATGAGAAAGTTCTGGAGTTGGACGGTGGTGACGGTTGCACAACAACATGAATGTACTCAATACGATGAACTGTTATGTTTTACCACTACTACAACAAAAAAAATACTGCTTTTTATAATCATATGATATTAATGACTATTTATTACAGGGCAGACTCTTCATCAAAAGAAAGGAATAAAGAAATATTACTGGTTAAATTTTAGCATATAAGAAAGAAGCAAATCTTAACCTCAATCTACACATTGTTGGTTTTAGAGTATAAGCACAAATAAAAATAGGGTGATATAATCATAAATCCTACCCAAATAGAGGGACTGTTATCTGAGTAAACAAAGGTAAATTGCTTAGGGCTATTAGTTTATCTGTGTGAAGTAAATTTAACTTTTTCTTTTCTTTTTTTTTTTTTAAAGATTTTATTCATTTATTTAATTGACAGAGAGAGAGAGACAGCAAGAGAGGGAACACAAGCAGGGAGCCCGATGCTGAGCTCAATCCCAGGACCCTGAGATCATGACCTGAGCCGAAGGCAGACGCTTAACTGACTGAGCCACCCAGGCGCCCCTAAATTTAACTTTTTCAACGTACCAAGTCACAAGTCAGGGAACAGATGATAATTTAGCCCAATTCTATCAATATATTATACACATAAATAATGTAAGCATTTTAGAAGTCTGCAACAGGCATTTCAAGGTGCCAGGAGCACATTTTATTCAATAAACTTTTAGTGAGTATTCTTAGGATTCAGAGATACACAAGTCTGAAAACTACTTAAAAAAACCAAAAGCAGACTATCTAGTACACTGATTACAAAAAAGATCTCATACTTTCTAGCTTGCTTCACCAAAGAAAAAGTCTCAAACTCAAATAAGGTAACAAATATATTTAAATATCTAAAATATTCATGTTACTGCCCTTTGGGGCAGCCTCAAAAAAAATTCATTTTCATGATGCTATATTGATATTTCCAATCAATGTGTATAACTTATCAAAAATCTAGATTCTAAACCTTTTGATGATTAAATGTCAGTAATATTTCTTAGTTTTTTATTTCCAATAGATAACTGATTTGTAATGACATTTTAAAATTCCATTATTGGGGCACCTGGGTGGCTCAGTCGTTAAGCGTCTGCCTTCGGCTCGGGTGATGATCCCAGGGTCCTGGGATCGAGCCCCAAATTGGGCTCCCTGCTCTGCAGGGAGCCTGCTTCTCCCTCTCCCACTCCCCCTGCTTGTGTTCCCTCTCTCACTGCCTCTCTCTCTG